CTTTCTTACTTACAAAGAAAAAACCTGATCCAAGTGGAGAAGAAGATGGTCGGATGATTCCTGCCGCGAGAGACTCGTTGATATAATTCTCCATGGTCTCCCGCTCCGGTTTGGAGATATTATAAAGCCGACTGTTAGGCAGTGGCGCTCCAGGGAGGAGATCGATGGCGCAGTCATAAGGGCGGTGCGGAGGGAGAGAAAGAGCACTAGATTTACTAAACACTGGAGCCAAATCATGATAATCTGGTGGAATGGCAGAGAGGTCGGGTGGGTCAACCTCCTGACGGTTTGCAGGTGACTGACTCGGAGGGGCGGCTGAGCGGAGGCAGGAGCAATGACAGGAAATGGACCAGGACTCCACATGTTTCTTAGACCAGTTGATATGTGGATTGTGGAGTTGAAGCCAATCAAAACCCAGAACTACAGGTGAACTAGCAGCAGGAAAAACAAAAAATATTGTTTCCCTATGATTACCAGAAATCAAAAGGTCTAGGGGTCTGGTCTGGTGCGTTATGTGGGGTAATTGTTTACCATCCAACTCCGAAACTCTCAGGGAGTTAGTTAACGGATCATTATTAGCTATAATTTAGACAAAGAATCAAAATGTAACTGCTTAGTACATTATGTTGTTTGCTGGCCACCAAATAAATGCATTAAAAGGATTTCCATTGTAGAATTTCTTTAAATCAGTTTTAGACTCTGGAGCTTTTTCTTCATCTATCACAGAATGGAAAAATAAGCCTTCAATTATGAAAACGAATCTGTCGTATTTCTGCCTCCACAGTGTGACGGGATCATCCTGGACCTCAGCAATATATCCTTAGAGGGCATCGCTATTCTGAACATTCCCAGCATGCACGGCGGCTCCAACCTGTGGGGCGAGTCGAAGAAGAGGAGGACCTACAACCGAATGAGCAAGAAGGTTGCGGACAAGACGCCTGGCAGCACCGTCACAGACCCTAAAGAGCTCAAGTTCTGCGTGCAGGGTGAGTCACTGAGGACGAAGTCCAACATGGCGGCTGGAGCTCACTTCACTCTAACTAATAGATTTCAGTTAGTTTGTGTTAAAAAAACAACTTCACTCAATTCCATCTACAAATATCCAACAATTATCACCAGCAAACACTAAACTTTTTATTGGTCGATTGAAACCAGTAAGAACTCAAAACACACCAACGCTAACATTCAGTCAGAAAAGCAGAGCTTGACTCTGTGTGAAACCTCTTTTAATTTAATGGAAATATTCCTGCTGTCGGGTTTTGAATAAAAGTTTCTAAGCAATGAAGAAAATCATCAGAAAATGCAGACATTTAGTCAGATGTAGAAGCTGGAATGTCAAGGTGATTAAAACAAAGGTGCTGAGCTGTTGCCAGGAAACTAAGATACAGGAACACCCCTCCTCTATAGGCCACATTCATCAGACAGCAGCCTCCTGGAACAGGAAGTGATGAAAGCCGATGTACATGAATCCATAAAGTGACCTCCAACGCTGCGTCTCACGCACGACAGCGTCCTCAGTAAACAAACAGGGTCGGTTACATAAGAGGCTGTGTAAACAGAGACGCGTTTTCTGCTCTGCTGTTCAGACCTGACTGTGGAACATCCAGCAGGAGATCCACTGAGTATTTCTAGCTGCCTTTGTAGCAGTAAGTACAGTAGTTTAGGTCATGGAACAGATCAATCCAAAGATTAGATTTTGATATTGAAATGTGGTAAGAAGTATTCTGTTTATTAATTTATTTTTGTCATTTTTAACCGGTCCATTATAGCAGCACACAACACAGGAATAAAAACAACAAAAACTTCCTGTTAATGGCAAGAACACATGTAGAATGAAAAAGGTGTAGGCATGTGTGTTTTTTTTTTTATATATAAAAACAAAATCATTAAAAATCAAGACAGCAGTCTGACGAACTTTTCAAAGAAAACATAATTAAACCTTATGGTATTACTTTTAGACTTTTTTTTTTACATTAATAGACCAAAAAACACAGTTTTAACTTCAAGCTTCAATTATTCCACACCTGAATCCCTCTAACAAAAGTACATTTATGTTTAATATTCATCCTGATCTTTCATTGTTTAAATAAACCCTTCTGTCTTAATGCATAGTTTGCTTCTTTAATTGCGAACCACTTCTGTATTCACCTTGGAAGCAGTTCATTATTGGCTTTGCACATAGTCGGTGCTGTTCTGAGCTCTACTAACTCATAACATTTTATGCAAAACTATGAAGTTTAGAGCTGGCGGTCAGACTGCTAAAGAATCAAAGTATTCATCTGGAAACTGGAGGAGAGCACAGAGGCTGATCTGTCATGTTTTCTGCTTCATCTCAGCAAAAGTATTAAAAAACATAACAATTCTAATAACAACAAAGGAAAATATTTTGTGTTATATTTGTTACTGCTTGCTTGGCACCAATAGCACGTGTCACCACCATGTGCTGCAACCACAACAGGCGGATTTTACACCGCTGATTTAGAACAAGCACAGCCTGTTTTCATGTGCATGTCTTGCACAATATGTCACAAACCGTCTTATAATCTGTGATTTTTAACCTTTTCATTGATTTTCACAGTTAAAAATGAAAGGCTGCTGCAGATCTGGTCAGTATAGAGAGCAGCTGAAACATCGGTCATTAACTTTGATACAGTTCAAAGCAGAGTGCTAACTTTATAAAGCAAGAGAGCAACTTTTTCTGTAAGATTTATGTCAGTGGGGGAAAAAAACTGGAATCTTATTAATAGTTCAATATTCATAAGATTGTTATGTGGGGTTCAACCACACATAACAGATGTATGTGTGGTTGTCTTGGTGTTGGTTTAGGCTAACTTAACCCGCTCCTCGCTCTATTTATCTCTACTTCTTGGTGATACACTGTTGGTTTCTTTAGTTGTGATTTCTGCTCCACAACCTGACAGTTGAATTTCCATAATCCTTCACTCAGCGTTGGCGGAGTGTGTGCGTGTGTGTGTGTGGTGGGGTTCTAAAACGGCGGCCGTCATTGCAGCTTTCAGTGGGAGTCTGCATTTGATGGCCACCAACAATGGAGAATAACCCTCTCCATGCTCGCACCAAGGATCTGTCACTGCATCTGCATTTCTGCCGACTGAACAGAACCGTGTTTCCATGGAGACGATAGCACGATGCCAAGGCAGAGCCCAGAGTAGAGGCAGTCTGAAAACAGTTTAGAGGAAGAGTGAACTTCATGAAATAACCTGTTTTTATTGATTGTTTTGTGCTCTTGCTTGAGCTCACTGTGGTGTCGGCAGCTTTAAAGCAGAACAGCACAACAGAGAGTCTAGAGCAACATCTTCTGCTTTTAAAGTCATATTTTTTCCTTGGACATCAGGGATTGTTCAACAAGATGCTGTGAAGCCAGTTTCTCCACTCTATCGAAATGGGTTTGGGAGATTACCTCACTAAAAATCCATTCATCCATCCAACCATCATTCATCCGCCCCTGGTCTATACTCACTGGTCCTTGTAGGGTCAGAGGGGAGCGAGGCGTCCAGCAGCCATTGGTTAGAAGGCAGGATGAAGAACAACACAAAGACACACGGACAAACAGCCAACCATACGCTCCACTGAGACGCCAGTTAACCCAGTGTAACCTCGGCAGTCATGTTTTCAGACTGTGAGAGGAAGCAGGAGTACCCAGAGAGAACCAACGCTTGAAAACTACATGCAGCTGGGGTTCAAACCCAGAAATGTTTTGTTGTAGGACAACAATGCTACCGACTGCACCATTAGTTAAATATCCAGTAGTGTGGACTGTTTACACAGACCTGCCCTGGCTATAAGCCTCACTATGACAGGAAGTGAAGTGTTTCACTGCTTTTCTAACTGAACAAAATAACAACTGACAGTAAAGCTGCATCAAGAAAATCTTGCATTGGTCTAAGGTTAGGCATATTTTCTATGTTACACTTTTTGCATCACGAGTCATATGATGAAGAGGTGGATGTTACTACAGGCGGAAACAACAAAGAAGACGAGAAGAAGTCAAGTGGTCGGAGGATGACGGCTCGGCGTGTTTTTAATGACTTCTCACATGAACGAACGTATTCACGTGTGATTTTAAGTTATTTAACGGAAGCACTGCAAAATTGTGTTTTTTCGACATTAGTGAAATATCAACAAAGCTTTGTGCACATTTGTAGTGGAAACGCAACTACGCTGATCAGTTGCACATGACGCCTCTGAACTGTGAAAAATGGGTGGAAAACCACAACCGTGAGGTGTAGCAATACTTTCTGCTGTTTCTTGGTTGTTATCTAAAACTAGAACTAAGCAGGGAAAACTGGCATTATTCAGATTTACTTCCCTGCGTATAAGTGTGTCTTGATTCTCCCCAAACAGGATCAAGTAAGTGATTGTGTCAGTGATGGAATCTTTTCCGCTCCCTCGGTTTGAAAAGCCTCTCCTGGTAGCGGCGTCTTTTCGGAGTAAAGCGTGTGTGCAAGCGCTCCATATCCGTGTGTCCGCGTGCCGCCATGTTTATCGTACCGCTAACAGTTTATGGCAGCTGCTTTCTCTGGCACTATAAACTAAAGCTTTTATATCCATTTACTGCAGATAATGCAATCAGCTCGAGTCGCAGGAAGAGTGAAAGAAGCTCCAGGCTCTTGTGACCTCAGAGCCTCTCTGCTTTGGGTTTGTTCCACACTGAAGACAAAGAAAAGTCCAGCCTCAGCGTCTGTAGCGTTATATTTATGTACATCCACCACGAGGCTTTCAAAGGAGCAGCAACGAGCTGAACCACAGCAGAGTTTCTGTATGGGTGTGTTTGCAGCGTTTCATGGAAGTTTGTGAGAGACGCAGCAACTCAGGGAATTTCTAAAAATATGATACATTTCTATGCTATTTCTCCAATCTTTGAAGGTTGCAGGGGACTAGAGCGACACACATACGCACACCGTGTCCAGTAAGCTAACATGCATTTTGTAGGATGGAAATGTGTGAATGCAACTGAGAGAAGTTGTAAACTCCACAAATAAAGGCCCCAATGAGGATTAAGCTAGAAAAATTAAACTATGATGCAAAGTTGTTGTTTTTTTTTTTCTTACGTTTTTGATAGAGAAAATATTTTCATATCAACTGAAGGTGTAAATAATTTAAGTTTCATGCTCGACTAATCTGGAACAAACTTCCAGGAAACTGCAAAACGGCCGAAACGCTGAGTTCCTTCAGATCAAGGCTGAAAACCCAGCTGCTTGGAGCTGCCTTTGAGTCATAATAACTGGAACATTTATTAATATATTTGATGTGTATTTGCTTAATAATGTTGATGATGGATTTTGAGAAAATAATGCTTATTGGTGGTTCCATCATTGGTTTCTGTATTGTGTTTAAAGCTCACAGAACTGCCTTGCTGTTGAAATGGGCTTAACTTGACTGTGGTATAAGATGGGACTATGTGCCTGGAAAATAAATAATTCCTCTCCTTTAATCTAATTTCTGGCGATATTCTTGGTGTTCTGATCATCGTCTCCTCCCACCTCTGGAGTTACGACCAATAGGGTCACTCCATTTTTTTCACCTCGTGACTCTAGCCTGTGATGCGGTTGTGTCCGTACACGGTAAAAGCATCGTGGGCAGGAGGTGTTGTTGGGGTAGGCTCATTAGCCAGTGCTCAGGGCATAGCTGTGTCATGATTTTCTTCGTGCTGTAGAAGGCTCTTCAAAATTTCCTGCAATCAGGCCGTGCTCCGAGAGCTCAGCGGGTCTTCGTCCATGTAACAGGATGTCTTGCATACGGCCTCTGATCTGCTCACACTGGGCGGTGCTAACAAATGCCTCATTGTGAGCAAACCTCCATGTGAAGAGTCGACTGAGGAACGAAGATGCTGACCAGAGTCAGCACAGCTGAACCTTTTCTGTTCATCCTACTATTGGTGACGTTTTTAAAACCTTAAAATTGATTTAAAAAAATCTTCTTTATAATTCATCCAAAGAAACAAAAACTTGGATATGAATACTGTTTG